AAAGTGAACGCAGAACTGCACTCATAAAAGGAAAACAATAATACGCAAATGGGGTTTCCTTTTGGGTTTTGTTTTCGATGATATCTACAGGCAAAAGTTTTTACTTGTATCATTGTTTTTCATTTTAAGAGAGCATCAATGCATATGGAATAATAACAGTAAACAATAAAAAGGGGCGTTGCCTCTTGGTGAAATAAATATCGACAACACATTATAATATGCAAAATAAATTAGTTGCTTTCGCTTGTTAAAAATGAAAGCAAAACTGCGCACATAATGGGTTTAACTCGCAGCTCGGGCTGTTTTGTTTATGTTTTAAAAGCTACTAGGCATTGATCAGCATTTATTTAACAGTCAGTATTTTAATTTGGGAGCCACAACGGAACATAAACTTTCCACAGCCTTTCCCGCAACATGGGGCTCATATTCCTCTTCACATTATTCGCGCTGACTTTTCTGCATGTTTCTGAAGGTAAGGCCATTCTTTTTCAATCAAAGAGACTAATCAAACTATAGCCAGGTAATAATACTCACTGAGGCATCGGCGGCGAAACACTTTTCAATCTGAGGGGGGGGGGGGCACCAAAAAGGGGCACTTATCCAGAGAAAGGGGCACCTTCGAATCTTAATTACAATAACTAGAAATGTGTTTGTGGACAAACACCAGCTCTCTCCCTTCGCGCACCGAGCGGACGATAAAATTCTCCGCATTTTCCAAATATGGGCACATTTTTTTTTAATGGGCCAATTAGGCAAGCTTCCATGTCCTCATTCCTAGTATAAACGAGAAGCTTGTAGACTCCCATTGGCCAGACCCTAGCCACTCCGGAGTAAGGAGTGTTGAAAGACAGAAGCCAAGTTGGCGCCTAATGCCTTTGTGCAAAAGTGGGAGATCTTAGTGGCCAACCCCAAAGTGCCGCCAATCCCTATGTGTCAACCCCTCGTGCCGCCCAGAGGTCAGACAGGTTTTAAACAATCCTTGGTCATGTGAATGACCTATATCTTGTGCATGTACAGGCATATCAGGGTTAGTGACCTTTAAACACATGTAGTGATAAAATTTTCCACGTGGCCAATCCGCGTAAAGTTTTTGGGCTTGATCCATGAAGGGTTAACATGACCCTGTGAAACGTGATGACGTCATGACGACATAACTTTTAAATTTCATCAATAACACATGACGTTCATGTCATATAATGACGTCACCATGACGTTACTTAGTTTTCATATATAACACAACAAAAGCTTTTCCGCTTTCCAAAACGAAAAGAATAAATTAGACCAAAAACAAAGGCTTTTCCGCTTTTAAGCTCCCCCCCCCAAAAAAAGGGAAACATCAGAAGAAGTACAAAGACTATAACGAAAAGAAGATCTTTTTCGGTGGACTTCCTGAAGCAGCTAATTATAATGATAAAATATTAATGCATATTTTAAAGCCTACGTATCCATCAGTCTTTTTGCCAGAGGCGCTACATCAGTATTACCCTGTTGATTGGGAAAATGAAACATCTCAAAAATATTCTCAGCTACCTGGAGAGTATGGAGCTCGATGCTGCCGTTTTGGCGCATGAAAAAATAACAGCAATAACCATATCCCTCTTTCAACTTTGTTAAAGTTGGAGCGGCAGAACTCAAGATCCAGGGAGGAAACCCACAATATGCTACCGCTGGCTCCAGCATCACCTTTATATGCGTCCTGTCCAGTGATTACACAATGAAAGAACCTCTTGTCAGATGGTTTTTCAATGACCAAACGGTGACCACCTGTGATGACCAAAACCTGATCGACCTCATCATCGGAAATGATGCCTACAAGGCTTGCAGATTGACCATCGACCCCGTTACAGAGACATCAGGAGGTATCTACATGTGTAAGGTCTATCCCATCGGTTTAGAGGATTATGAACCGACCGTGCAACTCCATATTATCGGTGAGTCGGCTTTTTACCAGACGGTTTCCATGGATAAAAAAAAAAAAAATTCCGAACCTATTTTTACATTGTCCAAACCATAATGTTTCCTCTTTGCCCTCTGGCAATTCTTATTTCCTCCAAACCTCCAGTCCAAACAGAAAATATAAATCCTAAAAGTATATATGGCACAGGTGTCTACAGAGTATCCCTCTATCCCCTCTTATTTATGTTTTAAATTCAACCTGTAAACGTATATTACTCATTCAAACCAACTTTTTGAATATTCATTTTCAATAACAAATCACTTTCGCATTACAATAGAGATTCGAAATACGAGGCGCGGCCCACGTTACCGTCATTCCAATGCTAACCGGAGCCGAGGAAACACCTAATCTAATCGAGTTTGCCTTTCCCGTATTTGGGTCATTCCATATCCGACCAACGCACTTTTTTACCTCATGTCTTCTGATTTTGTTAAAAATTGCTGTGCTTGTAGGTCCTGATGAGCAATGATTGCACACCAAATTTTAGCCCGATCCGACCTACCATGTAGTCAGGGCAGAAACCACCAACAAAATGACATTTTTAGAGTAAAATACCATCCTTTGGGTAGAAATATGTCAAAACCATGTCAATTTTTATCGGATATATGCGAATTTGGTATTAAAATAATAAGAATTGCATGCCAAAACAACTCTTTTGTCAAAATTAAATTTTGTGAAAAGTAGGGCACGTGACCTTTAAAATGTTAACGTGACCTTTGACCCTATTTATGTAATAATTTATCATTCCAAAAATCAACGAAATTGAAATGACTTGATAAGCATGTCTTCCTCTATCAAAATCTACTAAAAATCAATTGGGGTCTTCACAATTCACAATTTTATGACTATTTTTGTACAGTGGGTGGGTTACAAATTAGTCAATTTATAGACTTTACATAAGAGATCAACACACACCTTTAAATTATATTATGTTTCTAAAGCTATTTAAATTTATCGTGGTTTGGGAATTACTCATGTTTAGGGCTGATGAGGTCTAGCCAGACTCATTATACAAATTATCAGCAGTGGCGCACCCAGGATTTTGCTTGGGGAGGGGGGGGGAGCCCTCATAGTTTTTTGTTGTCAAATTTCTGTAGAAGATTGGAAAAAAAAATCGAACAAACAAATTGACAACCTTGGAGGGGTGGGTTCCAGCCCCTCGAGCCCCCCCCCCCGTGCCACTGATACTAGATATCCCACGAGCGCGCTTGGAATATTGGAATATGAAACAATGCAATGCTGCTGTGACCCATATGCCACCCGACGCACTACATTATTCCGTGTTCCATGAGCCATAACGAATTTATCTTCAAGCAAACTTAACGTCGAATGCATACATTGTACGTGGTGAGGGATGTAGGTGCATAGTGTATCGGACCGTTCAGCAGCAAATAAAAGGAACACAATACATACATTTACATATACATTCGATATCGGGGGTGCAATATAGCTATGTAGTATTATATCAAATCACACTGTTGTTGCTATAGATGTACTTATCAGGGTCTAGGATTCAAAGTTGCTTGAAGATAATACTCAAAATCGCAATGTGTCTTCTGTACTGGGTCCGGGTAGAAAGCATAGAGCGTACCCTAAACAGTAACTGCTGATGACAATCGACTCTCGAGCATACGTCAAGTTCGCTTGAAGATAAATTCGTTAGCCAACTTGGGCACGTGGAACACGGAATAATGTTTCATATTCCAAGCGCTCGTGGGATAACTAAATATCAGTGGCACCCCGGGGTGGGTGGGGGGCCTCAATTCAAAGCGCACTCGCGGGATAACTAATTATCAGTGGCAGGGGGGGGGGGGGGGCTCGAGGGGCTGGAACCCACCCCCCCCCTTGATTTTTCGGATTTTTTTTTTTTTGATTTGTAGTGGATTCTGATAGAGGAAGACATGCTCTATCAAGTCGTTTTAATTTCGTTGATTTTCGGAATGAAACATTAGTACATAAATCGGTCAAAGGTCACGATAACATATTAAAGGTCACATGACCCACTTTTCACAAAATTTAATTTTGTAAAAAAAATGATTTGAGCATGCAATTCTTATTATTTTGATACCAAATTTGCATATATTTGATAAAAATTGCCATGGTTTTGACATAGGTCTACCAAAAGGGTGGTATTTTACTCTAAAAATGTCCATTGTTTATGGTTACTGCCCTGACCACATGGTAGGTCGGATCGGGCTAAAAAAAATTAGTGCGCATTCATTGCTCATCAGAAACTACAAGCACAGCAATTTTTATCAAAATCGGAAAACATGAGGTAAAAAAGTGCGTTGGTCTGACAAGGAATGACCCATTTCCATTATTCAAGGTTGCTTCGATATGAATCAATCTGTATGTAGTTATGTTATATTTTTCGTCTTCAGGATGATAGACCTAAATAAGATGATAAAGAGGCCGATGTTTAGACGAAGTTCCATATTGTAGCCAAAATTTAGTTTTTCCTTTATTCTTAGAGAACCTAAGATGTTTGTATCCTTAAACTTTACTTGAATGCCTTGGAGTCGTTTCAAGACTTGTGTTATTAAATTTTCGTCTTTTTAATGTCCACATTTTGTGACATTTCCAAGATGGCAGCCGTTCGGTAGATTTTTGGCGGGAAAATGCTGCCTTCAGTCCACTCTATTATTGAACTAGTCTTGTTCACCATTTGCAGTGTTAATTATTTGGCTTAGTGCTAAAATACTAAGTAATTAATGATTGCATTTTTTTAAATATTTTATACAAACTAATTCCAATGTTAACCGTAGCTGAGGGAACACCTTGTGTAATCGAGTTTCCCTTTCCCGTATTTTTATCTAAATCCCCACAGAACTGGGACACCAAGTCCTCTCCCCCTTTATTACTGACTCTAATATCGCCAAGGGTCACATAATGTATTCGTTAACTAAAGATTGATTTTGACGAATCCCCAGCCTCCCCTCAGAAAAACAAAGAAAAAACATAATAACCACATCAACGGATTTTGAGGTATGTTTGTTAGCTTTGTTTTGTGTGTGTGTGTATGTTTTCATTTGATCCCCCTTCGATGATAACGTCGACAACCCGATTCGACGACTCCTCGGTGGAACGACGAGACGCCATGCTGCATCTGCTGGACCCCGCCTCCGCGGCTGTGCTGGACGATCCCAAGTATGGCCCCGTCTGCGTCCAGTCCAGCAGCACGCGGCGATTCGAGTGCAGGATTCAAGACGCTAGACCTGGTGTCTGGAACTTCACGTGGATGCTTGGCAATCAGGCGATCGCTACTAAAAGCGAGGCATGGACCGGAGCTGGGCTGGTCAACGTGAGCAGCTGGCGCATCGTGACAAACCCTGGCAACGAGACTCGAGAACGTAACCTCACGTGCCTAGCAGCGAGTAGTGATCAGTCACTGAGCACCAGAGTGCTGATAACGCCTTGTGCAGGTGAGTTTTGTATGTGTTTGCTGGTCCCAGACCTCTTTTTTACCTGCGCGTGATTTTACCTTAAGCATGCGTCTGTTTTTCTTCCCTGAGATCATTTTTTTTTATATGTTACTTTCTTTACCTTAAAACAAATTTATGTCACCAAAATGGGCATCATTTGTTTGTTCTGACATGCATTGATACAATTTCAATGCGTGTTCGAGTGTAAATTCAAAGGACTCATCAAGTAAACTTAAGTGTGAATTATCTAAACGCTTCATAAAGTTCTATGGTCGTTTAGATTTGGGTATTTAATAGCAGAATGTACACAGAGTTCAGGCGATGTATTTTGGCCACCCATTCCTTATTTTAGATTACAATATTATGAACACTATGAAAATATTATTACGGAGAAAGATAAACAAAACAGGTTTTGTGACAGAGGGTATCTCTTTCGATCTTAAGTAAGGTCTTTTAATTTTCCCTGACAATAATTTGCATGACTCATCTTCTTGTTTATGACACAACTGAAGAAAAAGCAAAATATGAGATACAACAGTAAACTCCAAACTACCTTTCATTTTAGTTTTTCTATTTTTGTTGCAAAGACAAACTTTATTCAACTAAATTTAGTGTTTTTTTTTCTTCATGGTATATGTTCTGATATAGTCCATCTTCACTTCAATTCTAATCTGAAATTTTGAAGGGGGAAACATTCGATTGTTGTTTTTTTTCGGAAAGATGATTTCATAACGATGCTTTATAGCAAAGTAATTGGATGAACAGACAATTTTACCTTTCACGATTCTGATGTATGACCCAGTCCGAAATAGTCATGTGATACATGTTCCTTGTTCAGGTGTTATACCCATTCTTAAAGGTACCGGGGCAAGAGTTGACCCAGAATCCGCGTCATATTTGACTTGATACTTTTCAGGGTCAAATAACACTTGTTGAGAAATAATGACACGTTCTGAATCATTATTAAACAGCCAAAGACTTGAAAAAGTGTCAATTTGACCAGCAAAAAGAAAAAAAATGTCCTTCAAACATGTCAGGTCAAATTCGACATTGATTTGTCTTGAAAATATGTGAAATATTCTCATGTAAACAAATAACCTGTTCGTTATTCAATTAAAAAGATGCTCTCGTCAAAGGTTCAAAGGGAGTGCTTATCGCCATAGTAACTGTCGTCAGTGTTCTAAGCGCATTGGTTGTCATGGCAATCGTAATGTTCGTCAAGTTTAGAAGGAACCGCAGGGCACAGCGTAGTGTGCAGATCAAACGTGACGCGCAATCGTCTGTTGAAATGGTGAGCCTTTGTTTATTCGGCTGATTTTTATAATCAATAAAAATGGAAATATTTACGACAGAAAGAAAATGAAACGTGGAAAGGGAAATTCAAGTGTGAAGGAATTTCATTGAAATTTTTACGCGATCATTTTAAACAGGTTCATTATTTATATTACGATAGGAAAATGAAAGTTGCATGCAGAAAAAATACGAAAGGTCAGGCCTTAACTTTATATAGACATCTTAGACATGTTTAAATTCAATTATACATGTAATCAAACGAAAGCAAAATAATGCATTTCAAATTAAACTCAGGAGCTTTAAAATGAATCAAGAAACGGCATAAAAAGTATAGTGAACTAAAACGTGCAAATTGTTCAAATGCTATAGACTTGACAAGGTTTTTTTTTTCTTGAATGCCAAAAGCTTTTCAGATTGGCTTTAAATTCATTGAAAACGAGGGAGGCTTGGCTAGTTTGCAGATGAAATTGATAAGTCGAGGGAAAAACATAGATATGTTTTGTATCAAATATTACATATTTTTTTGTCTTTTTGTGTCTCTTTATTTCAAGGACGTTGCTTTGGACCAGGATGCTTTAGAACAACCATGTCCATCTGAGGTCGGCAGCTCACCGGACGTGAAATACGAGGACAGAATTGCACCAAAAGGTCCACACAAATACAAGGACAGAATTGCACCACAAGGTTCACACAAATACGAGGACAACATTGCACCGCAAGGTCCACACACATACGAAATAAAGATTTCACCACAAGACCCACATAACTACGAGTACAACATTTCACAGCAGGTTGCACACCAATACGAAGACACAAGTTCTCCGCAGGTGGAGTATGATGATACTATACCACCACAGGAGGAAACACCAATGCTACCTGATGGCGATGATGATAACAATCTACCTCCCTGGGCTGAGGGGTGGAAGGTGCCTCGCTGCGACCTCATCATGGACGAGCGAGTCCTCGGAAGAGGGAACTTTGGTGAGGTGCGATCAGGTGCTGTGATGAAAGATGGAGAACTGACAAGGGCTGCTATCAAGATGCTCAAAGGTAACCTATATCTACTTATCATATGAGGTTAATATATAACTTAACATAGTCGTTTTAACCAATTTCAGCCGTATATTCATGTCTGACATGGGTACATGCGCGTGTGATGCGCGCGGCTTGTAAATAGTGGCATGTCATTGATCTCCATTATCAATGTGGCATTCAGTGAGGCGTACGTCTTATGTTCCAATTGCGCAGTGGGCGGTGCCTAATGGGTCGGTCAGTTCGAATATACACGTCAACTTTGTGGTATTTCGTTGACAGCTATATACTAAAGGTTAAATAATGTTAAACACTGTGTTTCTCAAACAGGCCATGCATCGACGAGTGAGAAAGATGATTTCATCGATGAACTTCGCACGATGACCTCTTTCGGCCACCATCCTAATGTCGTCTCGCTGCTTGGCGCATGTCAGCATCGACGTATGTATTCGGTTTATTGTAAACATTTATTGATAATAGCTGACTGAATAACAACGAAAACAGACCCGTAAATAAAAGACAAAGTTACATATGAGATTAGGACAATGTATATTTAGTTCAGTTTGGTAGTTTGCTTTTTGATCAAGTCGAACAAAGATGAACGAGTTGCTTTCTATCACGTGTTTACATAAACATGTGAAAATAGCGTGTGACCTTGACTCCGGAAACCATACTGTTTCTTAATCAGAGGTGTTGTACGTCGCGTTGGAGTATCTTCCCCGCGGTGATCTGCGCAGCTACCTGCGGACGGCTCGCTCACAGTCAGACTCAGACGAGGATGCCTTGTCTTCCGATCAGCTGGTCAAGTTTGCTCTGGATGTTGCCAAGGGAATGGAGCACCTTGCTAAAGCGGGGGTAAGGAGCCGTCGTATATTTGCATTTTTTCAGCTATTGATTATGAAAGGCTAAGTTTTCATATTTACACTCTACTGAAACCCTGTTTGGATTTGACACGAAGTCCGAGTTTTATTTGGATTGATACTATTCATGGTCCAAAACTACACTTCTATTGATCACATTCCGGATCAAAATGCTAACCTACACTATTAAGTCCCGGTGTAGATTCAAGAATCTACCTCCGGAATCCGGGGGTCAGATAACACCTGACACGCTCCTGGTTCAAATCAAACAAATTACGTATACTAAAATTAATGTGGTCAAAATGACAATTGTTTCGTCACAATGACATTATTCTGGATAAAATGACCCCGAAAAGTAACACAGAGATACGGCATGTTTCAATTCTACCCAGCTTTAGGTCAAATATGACCCGAAATTTAATCAAAATTTGACCTTGGACTTTACGTGCACCTAAAATGAAGGCTCTGTCCTCAGTGAGCAGTTCCACAATGGATTCAGAGGTATTGTTATTGTGTTCTTTGATCTTAAAAGGTGATCCACCGAGATTTGGCTGCCAGGAACATCCTACTATCTGAAGGGCTTACAGCTAAGGTTTCAGACTTTGGACTGTCCAGAGGGGAGGATATCTACGTCCAAACATCAAAGGTAATTGTTTTAAACTAAACTCCAGACCTATAAACCAAGTTCGTATTTCAGTTTTAGAGAGGTTCATACGATGCTGAAAGTATTTTACCAAGCTCATTTTGCCAGTCAGACACAAGTAAGACAGTTACTAGTAAATAACAAGTCAACTAGAAAGCACTCAGAAAGCGCAAACCTCCACAAAATCACCTCAAAATACATGTACACCCATATCCACTGGACGTATAGTATCAAATGGTTGAGTCCATTGACCTGTTGATTTCAGTGTTGTGTGCGCTTGAGCACATAGGGATGCAGACAAGTAAATCGGTACGAAATTTCTTCAGTATTAGAGCATTGTGAAGGCCGTGAACTTGATGATTTGTAAAAAAGCCATGCAGCGGACTGCGAGCTCGTAGAACTGTGAAATGTGGATGATGATAAAAGGTCCTAAAATGGCTCTATTTTGCAATGGAGCGTAGGCGTCCATTTTCAAATTGGCGATGGGCTTCAGGACTGCTTTTAGGGGTGATCATCTTTAGATGGTATTTTCTCCCAAAAGTCATTGTTAACCCCCAGAAAATTGAACAGAAAATGAAAGATGATGAAATAAGCTTTCCTTTGATGTACGTCTTGAATACCTCAGAGAGTTGTGAGTATTTGTCCCTATTCTGAAGAGGGGGCATTTGTCATTGGGGTCTATGGACATTTATACTGGTCTGCAGCCTGTAGTACTAACATGGCGGTGTCCACCGTAAGCGGTGCGCATGCGCTTTATATTTCACGACAATTTTTTTTCAGGGGCCGTGACCTGGGGGTGTTTCAAAAAAGGGGTCACCAATGGCGGTTCCGCAGAAAATGCTCCCAAATCTAAAAGGGCAGATATACCGTCATCCGATCACAGCAATTTCGAGCGGCAAAAGGGGGGGGGGGGTTGATTTGGGGTTGTAAGGAGCTGGAGGTCAATTAGGTCCCGTTGGGGGCGCCCTACAGCAATGCAGCCGCAAACAGAGTACCTGTTTTCAGTCCAGATGTAGAACTCAATAGTTTTTTTTTTTTTCTCACAATTTTTTTAATCAAATATGGGCTATCCATCCTCCCTCATGCCGTACACGTGCATGGTTTGGGGGTATTTTTCACAACCTCGCTTTTTATAGGGTGCAGACTAGTAAATCGGTCCAAAATTGCCTACGCCGGCCAACTCACGATTTGCATGCCCTCAAACTCTTCAATATTGGATCATTGTGAAGGCCGTGAAATTGATGATTTGTAAAAAACAAAAGAAGGTTGGAAGCCTTGCAGAGGAATGCAAGCACGCATTTCTGTGAAATGTGGATGATGATTAGTCCCTTAAATTGCTCTATTTTGCAATGGAGCGTAGGTGATGTTCTTCAGGACCGTTTTTAGGGGTGATCATCTTTGGATGGAATTTTCTCTCAAAAATAATTTGTGATCCACAAAAAAATTGAACAGAAAATGAAAGATGATGAAATAAGCTTTAATTTGATGTACGTTTTGAATACCGCAGAGAGTTGCGAGTATTTCCCCCGAATTTCTGAAGTGGGAGCATTTATCAGTGGGGTCTATGGACATTTATTTACTGGTCTGCAACCATAGACTGCACGCTGGTGACCCAAACACGTGTCCAAATTTCATGGTCTCTTCACATAGCATATACATGTATTCGCACATACAAAATGGTGAGGAATCCTTTAAAGAACTCCTGCAACAAGACTCAGATCTCGATCAATTCCAAAATCTAATGGACTCGTACCTGTTTCAAGGACCACCCCTAAAAATAGATTCATAAAATTACATCCAGAACTGTTTGAGTTATCTTGTTAACTGACAAACTAATACCGATGGAAGCATTACCTCCTTGGCGGAGATAATAATTTCGTCAGTCACAAGTCCATAAATAGTCCATTGAATTTAAGTCAAATTTCAAATCAATTGTGGCAAAGTAAGGCAATTCTTTTTCGGTATTCATCACCCCCACATGTTGGTGACATTTCTTGTAATTTAACTTTGATTGAGAGATTGCTAACAAAGTCCCGAGTCTAATTTGACCAGGACTCCGGGCTATTTTTGCCCTGAAACTTTTCTTGGTTAAAATGTCACTTTTCTGGGTCAAAATGACAATACTCTTGGTCATTGTGTTGGTCAAATTTAACCCATGACTTTTTTAAGGTTAGTTTTTTTATGTCTTTTCATTTGCATTTGATTATTATTATTATGGTTTATTTATTTGAATTATAGAGACGAGTTCCAGTCCGCTGGTTGGCTGTTGAGTCAACCAGGTATAAGAGGTACACGACAAAGAGTGATGTGTAAGTACAAAGAACCTTGTTCATCGTATGGAGTATTTTATGCGTGATGCAGGCCTAAATCTAGATTTTTTTATTTCTTTTTGCGAAATATTTCCCGTCACAGAATTAAAGAATTCTTGACTTAATTGTTCTCATCATCAGGTGGTCTTTTGGCATCCTCTTGTGGGAAATAACCACAATAGGTAAGACATATTCTGCCTTTTTTTTTTTTGCTCAAATGAAAGAAATCTGTCCTGAAATTATCAAACCGTTTAAGGCAACTTTATTTCCATCAAGATTCTTTGAAGTGGTGTGAAAACTAGACAATTGGTCATTTTCCCTTTTTCCACTGGTATCTAATTTATATTTAACGTACATTGTGAAGGGGGAACCCCCTACCCGACCACCAATAGCGGGTCACTGGCCAGGAAGCTGAAGGGAGGATACCGTATGCCCAAGCCCAGCAACTGTGACGACAAAAGGTAAGATGATCACTTAATAGGTGCTCAGTTTTATCAACAGGTAGTTTTCGTCCAAAATATATACTTATTGCTTAAAAAAGACCTGCTGAAACGTCCTCTTGGCGGAACAGTAGATAGCGAGTGTCAGCACCTCTGCGTGTCAACATTCAAGCTGGCTCGTACGGCAAACTTGACCCAGCTACAATGCTCCGTAGGCCATACTTTTTTGTCAATGCCGAGCGACTAGTTTGATGAGTAGAAGTATGCATGCATATGAGGTGGGCCTAGGGCTACTTAAATAGTCTGGAAGTCTTTTCGAAAAGGTATAGTCTTGTGGACAAAGAGAGATGCAGCAATATGTAACAATGGACTAGCTGCCATGAACATTACTGCATGTGTTTCTAGTTTATGCTACAAAATATGTTGTTAAATAAAAACATTCATTCACGTGATTTCTGCCTAAGCTTGTGCTAATAGGAGGATCTGAAAATCACAAGAATCTTCACTCATAAGGTTTCCCTGTGACTCATTTAAATTAGTTACGCCCTGATGTGTAAGTGCTGGGAAGAGGATCCGAACAACAGACCAAGTTTCTCTGAACTGGTCTCTACCCTAAGTGGCACGGATGACAGTAAAATTGAACATGTAAGTATATCATCAATTTCGCATCAAAGTTATCCTAGCCCACCGCATCCTCTTAGATATTTAGCTAGAGAAAAATTAACCAAACATTTTCCTTTTGTTTATATAGGTACACTGCACTTGATACATGTATCACATTTTTTGTTGGAAGCAATCGTTATTACTCGTGTGGTATTTTTTTAAAATATGGCTAGGCTCTAACCACGAGGGTGTGCACACACGCTTATAAAGGACATTGTTCATTTCATTTACTTTTCAGGCCTATTTTTCTTTTGACCGAGTGCGATACGAGAATTTGAGTGTCATCCGGCCTGAGTTTGATGACAACTGATCAATCGACATCAGCGTTCGTTCAACTGCGTCAACCGTTTTCCTGTGTCTTAATAGGCCGTATTTTTTTTACGATTGCGGCGCCATGTTGGGGGTACAAAAAAGGCGAGTAACATGCAAAAAATGGAGTGCTGTTATGTACCCAATAACCTTATTACAGCATGCCATGGAATGTCAGTACAATGCATGGTATTTTACAAAAAGCATAGGCCTATTATATTCGGTCTTACCACGGGTCATTTTAATGTATTAGTAAAGACATATCTATAACAAACTTAACTTTGTTATTCAAGATTTTCAATATATTTTTGGAGAATCACTTTATTGAACTTGGACCTTGCCACTTATTTTTTCACTTAACATTTCTCCGTTGTCTTTGTTTTGTTTTTTGGTTTTTGGTTTTGGTTTTTTGGTTTTGTTTTGTTTTCTTTCTTTCTTTTTTGGAGGGGGGACGGGGCATTGATTTATAACCACGTCAAAACAAGGTAATCGGTGAGCAACTTTACGATGTCGGCACACCATTTTATGCAGCCACATCTTCAACACTTCTCCTGTTTATCGCACTGTCACTGCGACAGCGCATTCTTCGGACAGCTTACTTTCAACTTATATCCAGCAAATTGGGGAAACGAGATGTCCGTGCATTTGTTTTGAAAATAGTGGTGCTCAGTTGATATTTCAGTGAGCCAAGTGAGGTATCAATGGACAGCTGATGATTAATTCTTTAAGCTGATTCTATGATTAATTCCTTTTCTCAATGAAAGTCATTAATTTTGAAATACCTGATTGGATACGCCCTGTATAAAAACTCATCTTTAATGTATTTATTTTTTTACAGAAGGTCGGTCTATCAGTTGGCTTCTTTTTGTTGCATCGGTCGGTTTATTTAGTTTTTTTAATTTCGTCTTCGTACTGCTTTTAAGCAGGATCTTCTTTGTTTAATACGCTCCTCGTTTAAAGTTTAAATGTACAATAGTTTCGAAAAGGAAAGTAAATGTAATATTATACATGTAGTAATATCCATTTAATTAACAGCATAATAATATTTAGTGCACCTTAATGGAGAAAAACAAATTAGAGATGTTAAGCTCTTGGCAAAAACTTTGTTGAGGTATGCTTATGCGTTATCTATATTATAAAGAAAATGGCATTGTAGAGTTGTAAACCTTAATAACATTGAGACTAGCAACGCTAGTTGAAAATTGCTGGTTGGTTGCTATACATGTTTTTGCTCAGTATAGATCGTGAAATAGAAGTCTTAAAATACCTCTGAAGTGTGCTTGTCTGTGTTTTTAGAGCAATTATGTTACATTTCGTTGTTTTAATTGCATTAATTGCTATTTGTTTTATTTGTGGAGCGGGTACACCTTGCTATTATGACAGTAAAAGTACTACGATCTTGTCGTTATGTCTAGAGCGCTTTATTATAATAAATACAATCGTGATAGATATGAAGAGCTGATCAATTGTTGGGGGGTTCAAATAAAAGGAGGAAAATCCCAACTGACGCAAAATTAACAAACCCGTTGTGTGAATCCCTTGTCAATTTGAAAGAAGGCGTTTTTTTTGTAATAGGACATGCCTGAAACGGGACTATCGTAGAACGAGAGTCTGCAGTCTGCATGGTTTTGAAAATATAAGCCATTATTTTCAAGAAATAAAATCAAAATTGCCTTCGCCGGCCAAATTTACGAAGCATAGGCGTCCGTTTTCAATATGGCGATGGGCTTCAGGCCTGCTTTTAGGGGTGATCATTTTTGGATGGATGTTTTCCCCAAAAGTCGTTAGATACCCCCCCCCCCCGCCGTCCAAAAGAAACTGAACGCAAAACGAAAGATGAGAAGATAGGCTTCAGTTTGATGTGCGTCAGTTGATGTGCGTCTCAAACACATTGGAGATCTTGTGATTATTTTTAATAATTTTAGGAAGTGCGCGTAATTATCACTGAGGTCTATGGCAGTCTATTTACTGGTCTGGAACCTTATAGGGCCTACACGAGGTGAAGACAACATGGCTGCGCCCATGGAATACAGTGTTAAATCACAAGAGGGCGCTGTAACCATTTGACGATGAGGTAAACATTATGTGATGTACTTCATGGAAGAAACTTTAGTGTTGGCTGTGTCAACATCAAAAGTATAGTAATGATAGTATTAAACAGAGAAATTGACTGCAGCGGGAATAGTGCTGAGCGACTTCCGAAGCACCAAACCGAATTTGGACTCATTGAAATTCAGACTCCTTGGTTGTATTGCGCATGCCGCAAGTGAATAAAATAGTGTCAAGAGGAAAACTGAAAAGCGGAATATGAGAAATGGGAATTTGTTAAAAATTTAAAGCTAGCACAACGACAGTGAGTCACCCAAGAACAAAGAGAGATTGAGAGATTCAGAATTGCAGTGGGGAACGCATAATTTGAAAGGATCAGCAGATAGTCTTGCGGTAGGACGGCCTTGGTTTGAGTTGAACTGAACAAAATTATCCAGAGTTGTATCATAATGACCAGCTTGCATTTCAAAAAAGTACACAAGGCACTGGATTTCCCTTCTAAGCGAATTTCTCTTATGAGAGACAATGAACAAGGGCTGAAATTTGACGGAAAATAATGATGACGCGCAGATGCAGCTGCCTGGTGACTGTGTTGTGAATTTAGAACTATACAAATACAACATGGTTTGAGGGGAAGAAGTGGGAATTAAACACTGGTCCCCAGATGTAGGTTCGCGTCGGGAGGTAAAGTCAAGCTGATCGGAGTCGACTTTAGAAACTGTGACGTTTTTTCGATCAGAAATGGAGACTACGTTGTTAATTGGTCAATTTGGATGCCAAGTTTGGATGCAATACAACGGGTTACGGAATACCCGATAGAAGATGTTGTGATAAAAAGCATGACTGGTACAAGTCTACTAATATATGGAGACACTGTCTTTGATGGATACGTATGCAACGTACACAATATTGTATGTACTGTTTTCCGGCTTTTCCTCCAGGCAATTCGGTCTGATGATGTCAATAAATAACACAGTGTTTAAGCTTATATTTTATCTATCCAGCCTTCAAGGGCGGATCCATTTTTGTTGGGGGGGGGGGGCAAAACAAATTTGGTCTCCCAAAAAGTGGGTCTCAAAACTGCGGCGTTGGGTTGGGGGCCAGCTTAAGGGCCCAAGAAAAAATGTTCGATTGGATGCTCTGTGGTGCAATCTGATCGAGGCAATTTCTGACCACTTTAACCAAATCTTTTTGAGGAAAAGATGGTGGTTTACACAGTGCCTGCTTTTATTGCGACGTCACTTAAAACAAAAAAATGGGTTCGTTTTAGGGGGGCGGGCATGGCCCCCGTTGCCCCCCCCCCCCCCCCCCCCCCCAATCCGCCCTTAATTGCAAGCCTTGTCAGTAATCATACGGAAGACACCCACTGAATGGCCAGAATCTGGATAGCAAGACTTGTTTTGCATAAATACTCGCCGAATCTTTGCAAATATCAAATGCATTCCATAGACTATTTTCAGGCGTCGATTACTCAAATGAACGTTTTGGGGGACATTCAACATTTTGATTCAGTAGGTCACATATTCATTATTGCTGGAATGCT